ATGACTAAAATGGGAAATAAGGCGTGCATGTCTCAACCACCTCGACGTGTGCTGCACAAGGATGCATCCAGGATCGTTGTGAGCGAGGCCGTGATCATTGACCGTTCACGGCCACAATAGCGAGATAGTTTATTAATATTTAATTAAATAATATTAAAAATTCTTTAATCAATATATAAATGCACAAAAAGGGAAAAATCATATACATATGAAAATATAATCCAACACAACCCAAAATAATAAGAAAAAATAGATGATTCGACCTCAAATTGATTATGGTGGTTAAATTTTCAACCACCATAACAAATTTGATAGCTTGTATTTGATTATGGTAATGTGGTAAAATTGGTACTGGGGTGGTTGTTTGAAATGGTTGTAGCAGCAAGCTCTCAATGTTTGGACACACATTATTCACATAAACAAGCAGAAGGATTTACACAAGGGGTTTAATCTTCACCAAAGAGACTGCATAGGAAAGAGAATTTTTTTTTTTAGGTATCCAACTTGACAATATAAGGAAGTTATTTACTTTAATTAATAAATATTACTTTAAAAGTAAGAATGTTTTTCAAATCAGACCCAAAAGTTAAGCACCATCAAAGTTTATACAAAAACATCTCTTTTGTTTGGTTTGATCTAAAACATAATTAAAAAGGAAAATACCTTTTTAGACTACTCACAAATGAAAATTAAACGTAAATTAAACTTCATTTTAAACTATCATCAATTTTCAACACCAATTTATCATTTATCGCAAATTCCCCAAATGATATCAAAATTATCAGTTCACGATCCTCAGATATCACATATTCATATATTCACAAATTCCCCTATTTTCGTAAATCATAAACCTCAGTGGCGAGCTCAGAGTCATAAAACATAAATCATTCCCCAAAATGGCATAAAAAAATGAACTAAAAAAAAGAAAGACAGGCGCTCACACAGCAGTGACTGGCAGTGGTGGAGGGAGGAGGCTCGGCGTCGATGACTCGGCAGCAGCAGGTCACAAGGCTGAAGGCTCCGCTTCGGGCTGCGCAGCAAGAGGGAGACAGGGAAATAGGGTTTGGCAGAGATTTGGTTTGCAAGTGTAATGGCGGTATGGGGCTGAGGAAATGGAGTAGTCATACAAATACAATACAAAGCAAATGGGTCTAATCTCAACAAAAAAAGAAAGAAAAGAAAATGGCCCAATTCCAATAAACTCATCTTCCTAATCCTTCCTTGCCTACATTTCGCCGCGTCACCTCACCGGGGTGTTGGCTCCGCTCCTGGTGCCACATACACTTTAAAATTAACGTATGGACCATGCTACATGTACAAAA